AGAGCGTCACCACCCCGAGGTGTGAAGAGCAGGTGGAAAAGGCTTTGTGTCTGCCCAGAACTGAAGGTATTTTCAGAATTGCCCTGATAATTTTCATGTAAGAAATAACTATGAAGGAGAAGGGAAGGATCGCAAATACCAGGATGATGGTGTACAGCATCACTTGGTTCCAGAAAGTGTCTGCACAGGCCAGTTCCAGCAGAGGGGGGACATCACAGAAAAAGTGGTGAAGGTCCCGGGATGCACAGAAGGGCAAAGTGAACACCTGGTAGGTCTGTCCTACTTGCACTGGTACGACGACCACCCACGACCCCACCAGCAGTCTGATGCAGACACCCCTGCTCATGATGAGGGTGTAGTGCAGGGGGTCACAGATGGCTATGTAGCGGTCATAGGCCATGGCAGCCAGGAGAAGGCATTCGATGCTGCCCAACAAAACCAGGAAATAGAGCTGGGCAGCACAGCCAAGGAAGGAGATCCTGCCATCTTCCATCAGGAAACCCACCAGCATTTTTGGCAGAGTGACTGACGTGTAGCAGATCTCCAGGAAGGACAGGTTCCTCAGGAAGAAATACATGGGGCTGTGGAGGCTTGAGTCCAGCACTGTGATGAGTGCAATCAGGCTGTTCCCTGTGAGAACCACGAGGTAGATGAGCAGGAATACGGTGAAGCACAGGCCCTGCAGGCTGGAGTGGTCAGAAAATCCCAGGAGAATGAATCCAGATCCAACGGTGTGGTTCCCCAAGCCTTTTCTTTGGGGCATTTTCCCTATGCAGAGCAAGCCAAACCACAGGCTCTTAGAGGATGCTGATGGCCCGTCCACCATCACGTACACTCCAAGCTTAGAGAAAGATTACAAACATCAGCAGACATGTGATTGCAGGGTTGGGCAAGCTTGACCAAGATATGCATGAATGTTTGGCAATCTAACATGGGTTGCTTGCTGCAGGGAGGTTTGTAAAGGGAGGAAAAAACAGAATCCCTGAGCCTGAATGTCTCGGTTTTGTCACATGGATAAAAGAAACTTGACTTTCTTTTTTTAGAGGTGATTTTATTACATGGAATATCTGGTGATAGATGAGAGAAAAGGAAGAGAATGGATAAATACTAGCCCCTTTAAGAACAGTCTTGCTTACGTTCCTTGTCCAGATTGTGTAAGAGCTGCATTGAATGTAAGACCATTAAGAAGACATAGGGTGAAAAGGAGGAGAGGGATGAAAAGGGGAAAAGAAAGCAAGGCTAGGCTGGGCACAGAGAGGCAATCAAAACAAAGCAAGGCAAGGCATGGCTTGATTCTTAGACCTTAGTGAGAGACATTAATCCCAGCTTTCCTCACGTGTAAGAGCTCGTCTCTTGATACTGTGTCCGCACACAAAGATCTGGGAGAATATATTTAGATCCGAATCATTCATTTTTACATGGTGAAGGGTGAATCCCATCAGAATTAAAACAGGCTTCTATCCGTCGAGGAATCTAGTAATACTGATGCATCCATGGGACTTCTTAACAAGACAGATAAGCAGCAGTCGCTGCATAAACCACAAGTTTTCAGGGTGCTAAAAGACATGTTTATGCAAGCAATCAAACGGCTTCATGCAGTTTTCAGTCAGAGAAGAAGGTGATTAAAATTGGGTGATCTGACGATACCCACTTTTTCTGAACAGGTCAGACTTTTGTAACTTCTCCATGAGTCCTGAATTATTCCGCTTTCCTAAGTTTCCTGCTCTGTCACTTGGATTTCTGACAGCTTTCAAATCCAGCTGAGGGCCCGTTCGCTCTGATCCCGACCCTGCAATGCTTCCCTCTCCCCTGCAAG